AACAGTGGCGCTCGTGCATCCACTCATTATTTTCCTAACACCACTCTATATGTATTTCCCATCTTCTGCTTGAATTTGCTTCAACATTCCAATCTTCACTTCGCTCTTTTATCCAAATGGGCAACCAAAGACAATAACCAAAACCGACGCACGAAAGTGCATGGTTAATGGTTGTAAAAACTGAAACTGATACCAGTAATGGCCGCCAGTAACCGCTCAGTAAAGACCCAGGTAATCCACAAGCTCTCTGGATGGTTTAAAAGTTAGAGTAGCTATATTCGACACGCGATTTGTACATCAACATTTTCAAAAATAAAATGGATTCAGTTCTAAAGTTCACTGTGACGGAAGAAGCAATAGACAAGGTAAATGAGTTTCGCTATTTGAGTAGCTATATCTCACCCAGAGGAAGAAGTATAAATATGCATACAGAGGACTCAGTTGTCAACTGGAGGCACCTACAGTGTGCCATTTGATTATCGGAGAAAGGTAGAGTAACCGTAGTATCTGTTCAGCCGTTTCTCCTGCNTGCATACCACAGATTTAATCGTTAAGAGAACAGGATCCAGAGAGACGAGTCTAGTGCGACGACATTATAAACAATGTTGAGGTGAGGCAGAGTTATAGGTTATCGCGGTTGTGTATTACAGTTATTCCATGACCTCCTTAGATTATGATGGACGGCATGCGAGTCAAACATGTCTCCGGACAGATTTTCCTCGTGTCAAAGTCAAACTACGATCTAGGATAAGGTTATGAGTACCTGAACACAGAGACTTAGTTGCTCCTTGGTTGTGGAGCTCGAGATAAGTCAAATAATTGATTCGAGAAACTAAATGTTGCAGATATGTGAGGTGAATAGTGGATCTTTACTCTGGTGCTGCTGTTCTCAGATTTTCAATTCCTCGAAAGTGTTTCATCCTAATGGACAGCTACGAAACCACCGCACGAAAGGGTAAAGTACGGATTGCATGAACTGAACTGAAGCATGGAGTAAAAACGAGTAAACGCCGAATCAAGATACAGGTCGAAGACGAGGAGGCAATTTATAGTACGCATTCCAGCGCGCGCGCGCACACACACATTGACGGCTAGGACCATTGTGACGGTACAATCAGAGGACACAACAGACAAGCCGCATATGGTCCAGTCAAACAATAAATGAACACGGAGTGATAGTAGGTAGCGAACTGGTTCACATCCACATAGATAGATCGAACTGGATCATCATCAGCCGTTTTCGGTTGAAGAACACTCAGCTTTTATCTGGCTTCAGTTCAGTTCAGTTTATACAACTATTAACCATGCACTTTGCACCGGTTTTGGTTGATGTCTTTTGGCTGCCCATTTGGAGAAAGACCGGAAAGTTGTAGGTGCAGTCGAGGAGAAAATGGAGAATTTCAGTGGACTAAATTTGCAAAGAAATTGAGAAGATGCACGAACGCCAGTTTTGCGATACTCAACCATTGATTAAAATGATCCCGAGGTCCCCATCCAGGAAGCCTAACGAGACCTGTGTGACCGAGCCTCCTGGTTAGGGTTTTCATGCCCTCTTGCCTGGTCTTAGATTGACCGCCGCAGGCTTTATTCCATCCACTAGTCGCATCCACAAGCATCGCGCGCCATGGCAACCTATTTGGTGACATGGCATAAGGAAACATTTTTTTGATCATTCTATCCGATTCACAGACTTTAAGTGCCAGATTCAGCGTATTAAACCCCATTCACAGCATTCTAGCTCGTCAGAATCATGAATTCACCTGTTCAATAACCGAGATCATGAAAACGTGCTACTGGATGGATGAGCGGNGGGGGGGGGGGGGGGGGGGGGGGGGGAGGAGTGGAGTCGTAGACGTACCAGTCACACCTGCTGTTTGCATACGACGTCGGACAATGTCCAACGGATATGACGCTGTCTGTCCGAGAATACCGGCAAAACCTCCACAGACCAAATTCTCCACGGGCTGCAGTTTTTCCGGCCTCGTACCGCATTCATGTGCGTGTTTATCTGGAAACGAAACGAAAGAACAGGATTTCAGAGCTCAGAAACCGAATGCGCACTTTGAGTGAATGAATCAAGAACTAGGAGACACAAGTCGGTATTAGGCAAAGATTGCAAACTTCAGTCTGTTCATATTATGTCTGTAACACGAGTCCCGGGTTCGATCCTCGGATGTGTACATAGATTCACATTACCGTATTTTTCGGACTATAAGGCGCACAGAAAATCCCTATATTTGTAAAAAAATCGGCA